TGTAACATGAGGTGTATTAATGTGTTGTGTCTACTGTGTAACATGAGGTGTATTGTTGTGTATACTGTGTAACATGAGGTGTATTGTTGTGTCTACTGTGTAACATGAGGTGCATTGTTGTGTTGTGTCTACTATGTAACATGAGGTGTATTAATGTGTTGTGTCTACTGTGTAACATGAGGTGTATTGTTGTGTCTACTGTGTAACATGAGGTGTATTGTTGTGTCTACTGTGTAACATGAGGTGCATTGTTGTGTTGTGTCTACTATGTAACATGATGTGTATTGTTGTGTTGTTCCTACTGTGTAACATGAGGTGTATTGTTGTGTTGTGTCTACTATGTAACATGACGTGTATTGTTGTGTTGTTCCTACTGTGTAACATGAGGTGTATTGGTGTGTCTACTGTGTAACATGAGGTGAAATGTTGTGTCTACTGTGTAACATGAGATGTATTGGTGTGTTGTGTCTACTATGTAACATGAGGTGTTTTGTTGTGTTATGACTACTATGTAACATGAGGTGTATTCTTGTGTTGTGTCTACTGTGTAACATGAGATGTATTGTTGTGTTGTGTCTACTTTGTATCATGAGGTGTATTGTTGTGTTGTGACTACTATGTAACATGAGGTGTATTGTTGTGTTGTGTCTACTGTGTATCATGAGGTGTATTGTTGTGTTGTGACTACTATGTAACATGAGGTGTTTTGTTGTGTTGTGACTACTATGTAACATGAGGTGTATTGTTGTGTTGTGTATACTGTGTAACATGAGGTGTATTGTTGTGTTGTGACTACTATGTAACATGAGGTGTTTTGTTGTGTTATGACTACTATGTAACATGAGGTGTATTGTTGTGTGGTGTATACTGTGTAACATGAGGTGTATTGTTGTGTTGTTACTACTGTGTAACATGAGGTGTATTGTTGTGTTGTGTCTACTGTGTAGAATGAGGTGTATTGTTGTGTCTACTGTGTAACATGATGTGTATTGTTGTGTTGTGTCTACTGTGTAACATGAGGTGTATTGTTCTGTCTGCTGTGTAACATGAGGTGTATTGTTGTGTTGTGTCTACTGTGTAATATGAAATGTATTGTTGTGTGTACTGTGTCACATGAGGTGTATTGTTGTGTTGTGTCTACTGTGTAACATGAGGTTTATTGTTGTGTTGTGTCTACTGTGTAACATGAGATGTATTGTTGTGTTGTGTCTACTGTGTAACATGAGATGTATTGTTCTGTCTACTGTGTAACATGAGGTGTATTGTTGTCTAGTGTCTACTGTGTAACATGAAATGTATTGTTGTGTGTACTGTGTAACATGAGGTGTATTGTTGTGTTGTGTGTACTGTGTAACATGAGGTGTATTGTTGTGTTTACTGTGTACCATGAGGTGTATTGTTGCGTTGTGTCTACTGTGTACCATGAGGTGTCTTGTTGTGTTGTGTCTACTGGGTAACATGAGGTGTACTGTTGTGTTGTGTCTACTGTGTACCATGAGGTATATTGTTGTGTTGTGTCTACTGTGTAATCTACTGTGTAACATGAGATGTATTGTTCTGTCTACTGCGTAACATGAGGTGTATTGTTGTGTTGTGTCTACTGTGTAACATGAAATGTATTGTTGTGTGTACTGTGTAACATGAGGTGTATTGTTGTGTTGTGTCTACTGTGAAACATGAGGTGTATTGTTGTGTTGTGTCTACTGTGTAACATGAGGTGTATTGTTGTGTCTATTGTGTAACATGAGGTGTATTGTTGTGTTGTGTCTAATGTGTAACATGAGGTGTATTGTTGTGTTGTGTCTACTGTGTAACATGAGGTGTATTGTTGTGTCTACCGTGTAACATGAGGTGTATTGTTGTGTCCACTGTGTAACATGAGGTGTATTGTTGTCTCTTCTCTGTAACATGAGGTGTATTGTTGTGTCTCCTCTGTAACATGAGATGTATTGTTGTGTTGTGTCTACTCTGTAACATGAGATGTATTGTTGTGTTGTGTCTACTCTGTAACATGAGATGTATTGTTGTGTCTACTGTGTAACATGAGGTGAATTGTTGTGTTGTGTCTACTGTGTAACATGAGGTGTATTGTTGTGTCTACCGTGTAACATGAGGTGTATTGTTGTGTCCACTGTGTAACATGAGGTGTATTGTTGTGTCTACTGTGTAACATGAGATGTATTGTTGTGTTGTGTCTACTGTGTAACATGACATGAATTGTTGTGTTGTGTCTACTGTGTAACATGAGGTGTACTGTTGTGTTGTGTCTACTGTGTAACATGAGGTGTATTGTTTTGTCTTCTGTGTAACATGAGATGTATTGTTGTGTTGTGTCTACTTTGTAACATGAGGTGTATTGTTGTGTTGTGTCTACTGTGTAACATGAGATGTATTGTTATGTTTTGTCTACTGTGTAACATGAGATGTATTGTTGTGTTGTGTCTACTGTGTAACATGAGGTGTATTGTTGTGTCTTCTCTGTAACATGAGGTGTATTGTTGTGTCTACCGTGTAACATGAGGTGTATTGTTGTGTCCACTGTGTAACATGAGGTGTATTGTTGTGTCTACCGTGTAACATGAGGTGTATTGTTGTGTCCACTGTGTAACATGAGGTGTATTGTTGTGTCTTCTCTGTAACATGAGGTGTATTGTTGTGTCTACTGTGTACCATGAGGTGTATTGTTGTGTCTACTGTGTACCATGAGGTGTATTGTTGGGTTGTGTCTACTGTGTAACATGAGGTGTATTGTTGTGTCTTCTCTGTAACATGAGGTGTATTGTTGTGTCTACTGTGTACCATGAGGTGTATTGTTGTGTCTACTGTGTACCATGAGGTGTATTGTTGGGTTGTGTCTACTGTGTAACATGAGGTGTACTGTTGTGTTGTGTCTACTGTGTAACATGAGATGTATTGTTGTGTGTACTGTGTACCGTCGTAGTATCAGGACGGTGAACTCGTCACCAAATATCTGGGATTCCATGAAAACCTTGTTGCTTACAGTGTCCATGTACGGGTCTGAATTCCTGTAATACATACTCTTACCGCTGTGTTAGGGACCAGGTGATTTTATTCTGCCATCTCAAACTTTATGCATTGTTACAAAGAGCGTCGGTTACATACAACCGAGGTATGGTAATTAGGGAGTCTCGCCGCTGTATTTATGATTGCCGAGAGTTCGTTGTATAGACCATGTAAATCAATAGTGTACAGGGAAATGACAAAATACTCTGATATTGATTAATGCACAATTATAGAAAATGATAACCTGCTTCACCGCACCCGGTCTCCAATTATGTTATTATATCTTCATTTATCGAATCAATTGAAGAGCTTGTATTTATACCTGTGTATTTACTTATCAGATGTCGGTCACATATTTCTGTCACTGGTACTGGTCAGACATTTCTGTGAGAGGTACTGGTTAGATATTTCTGTGAGTGATATTGGTCAGATGGTCAGATATTTCTGCGAGAGGTCCTAGTCAGATGGTTAAATCTTTCTGTTAGTGGTATAGTTCAGATGGTCAGGTATTTCTGTCAGAGGTATTTGTCAGATGGTCAGATATTTCTGTGGGTGGTATTGACCAGATATTTCTATGAGTCGTACTGGTTGGGTGGTCTTATATTTCTGTGATTAGTATAGGTCAGATGGTAAGATATTTCAGTGAGTGGTATTGGTCAGATTGTCAGATATTTCTGGGAGTGGTATAGGTCAGACAGTCAGATTTATCTATGACAGGTATTGGTCAGATGGTCAGATATTTCTGTAAGTTTTAGTCGTCAGATGGTCAGATATTTCTGTGAGAGGTACTGGTCAGACGGTCAGATATTTTTATGAGGGGTATAGGTCAGAAGGTCATATATTTCTGAAAGTGTTAGTCGTCAGATGGTCAGATATTTCTGTGAGAGGTACTGGTCAAATGGTCAGATAGTTCTGTGAGAGGTATAGTTGTTTGCCCATGATAGAAAAATGTTAAAGTGACAATAACGATCCATGCACATGTCTCACTGGAGTGACAGGTACCACTCACAAACATGTCTCACTGGAGTGACAGGTACCACTAACACACATGTCTCACTGGAGTGACAGGTACCCCTCACACATATGTCTCACTGGAGTGACAGGTACCCCTCACACTCATGTCTCACTGGAGTGACTGGTACCACTCACACACATGTCTCACTGGAGTGACTGGTACCCCTCACACACATGTCTCACTTGAGTGACAGGTACCACTCACAAACATGTCTCACTGGAGTGACAGGTACCACTCACACACATGTCTCACTGAAGTGACAGGTACCACTCACACCCATGTCTCACTGGAGTGACAGGTACCACTCACACACATGTCTCACTGCAGTGGCAGGGACCCCTCACGCACATGTCTCACTGGAGTGACAGGTACCCCTCACGCACATGTCTCACTGGAGTGACAGGTACCCATCACACACATGTCTCACTGGAGTGACAGGTACCCATCACACACATGTCTCACTGGAGTGACAGCTACCACTCACACACATGTCTCACTGAAGTGACAGGTACCACTCACACACATGTCTCACTGGAATGACAGGTACCACTCACACACATGTCTCACTGGAATGACAGGTACCACTCACACACATGTCTCACTGGAATGACAGGTACCACTCACACACATGTCTCACTGGAATGACAGGTACCACTCACACACATGTCTCACTGGAATGACAGGTACCACTCACACACATGTCTCACTGGAGGGACAGGGAGCACTCACACACATGTCTCACTGGAGTGACAGGTACCCATCACACACATGTCTCACTGGAGTGACAGGTACCACTCACACACATGTCTCACTGGAATGACAGGTACCACTCACACACATGTCTCACTGGAATGACAGGTACCACTCACACACATGTCTCACTGGAATGACAGGTACCACTCACACACATGTCTCACTGGAGGGACAGGGAGCACTCACACACATGTCTCACTGGAGTGACAGGTACCACTCACACACATGTCTCACTGAAGTGACAGGTACCACTCACACAGATGTCTTACTGGAGTGACTGGTACCCCTCACACGCATGTCTCACTGAAGTGACAGGTACCCCTCACACCCATGTCTCACTGGAGTGACTGGTACCCCTCACACACATGTCTTACTCGAGTGACTGGTACCCCTCACACACATGTCTCACTTGAGTGACAGGTACCACTCACAAACATGTCTCACTGGAGTGACAGGTACCACTCACACCCATGTCTCACTGGAGTGACAGCTACCACTCACACACATGTCTCACTGAAGTGACAGGTACCACTCACACACATGTCTTACTGGAGTGACTGGTACCCCTCACACACATGTCTCACTGAAGTGACAGGTACCCCTCACACACATGTCTCACTGGAGTGACTGGTACCCCTCACACACATCTATATATATCTTCATACATCAGTACCAAGTTATGCCCTGTTTCGTATTTCTGCCCCTTTCCATAGCTAGGCTACTAGCATTACAGTGCAACATGCTACAAATTTAATAAAACGTTTCAGAAAAAAAGCTTAAATGAATGAACAGTGAGTACCATCACATCAGAAAGGAAAAAAGACATTTCAAAACAATGTACTACCGGTGTAAAAAAAAATCATATTCACATCATTGTACCAAAATAAGAAATATACCAAAATACCGTTACAATGTAGCCATTCACCTGTGAAATAAACCACTAGAATTGTGTCCATATAAGTGTATTACCTTTAGGAACGGCTAAGGGAGAACAACGTAGGCGACCACATTACATCATCCGTAATACAAAAGGGATGAAATAGTTAATTAAAGTTCTATTTGATATAGCAAGACTTGCTTCATAACAAATGACACATTATCTTTACTTTTCAATGGATATTTAACTGTCTCCATGAATGATATTGTTATCAACTTTTCAATCTACATTTTCCAAGCGTAAACATTATTACAGTATAAGCAAATGTATCTACATATATGTACAGTGCATGGATAATACCAACCTTTATCAAGACTACACATACAGTAATTGTTAAACATCACTACTCAACTCAAAACGGAGAGTTAGCTTACCTGGGATGAGGCCTGAACCATCTGCATCATACTTCGCAAACTCAGCACATATAGTCTCTCCATCTATATCTGTAGAACAATAGTAAGACAGTATACACATATAGGCTCTCCATCTATATCTGTAGAACAATAGTAAGACAACATACACATATAGTCTCTCCATCTCCATCTGTAGAACAATAGACGATTTTGTAAATAACAGAGAACTAATGACGATATAGTAAATAATAGATAACTATTGATGATATAGTAAATAATAGAGAACTATTGACGATATAGTAAATAATACAGAACTAATGACGATATAGTAAATAATAAAGAACTAATGACGATGTAGTAAATAATAGAGAACTATTGACGATGAAGTAAATAATAGAGAACTAATGACGATATAGTAAATAATAGAGAACTAATGACGATATATTAAATAATAGAGAACTATTGACGATATAGTAAATAATAGAGAACTAATGACGATATAGTAAATAATATAAAACTAATGATGATATAGTAAATAATAGAGAACTATTGACGATATAGTAAATAATACAGAACTAATGACGATATAGTAAATAATAAAGAACTAATGACGATGTAGTAAATAATAGAGAACTATTGACGATGAAGTAAATAATAGAGAACTAATGACGATATAGTAAATAATAGAGAACTAATGACGATATAGTAAATAACCTATTGAGGAGTTAGGGATGAGAATCAACAGTAAGGTATACATATTATACGGTTCGTTGTTGTTTTTTACATAACGGTAACTACAATCTTATTTCAATTTTATTTCCTTCATCAAGCCTAGAGTGCAAATGTCCGGTGTCTAGACTAGGATGAAAGGAGCATTGGTGACGAGAGAAGGGAGACACCAGCTCAGTCATCGTGATATATTAACATCCACTATAGACATGTTGGTAGATAACAGGGACTTATTGACGAGTTGGTAGATAACAGGGACCTATTGACGAGTTTGTAGATAACAGGGACTTATTGACGAGTTGGTAGATAACAGGGACTTATTGACGAGTTGGTATAGATAACAGGGACCTATTGACGAGTTGGTAGATAACAGGGACCTATTGACGAGTTGGTAGATAACAGGGACCTATTGACGAGTTGGTAGATAACAGGGACCTATTGACGAGTTGATAGATCTTTAGGATATATTGACGTGTCAGACTGTCAACAAGCATACAAACAATTCAGTGATGTACGTTAAGAATTTAGAAGCGGGTGATAAATATATAGTATTGTGTACGAGACTGTAACATTTCTGCCTATAAAGCATACGTTTACCAGTCGACTAGCACCTGTATAGTGTCTGACGTTACATGGCACATGTAGTAGACACTACGCCTGTATAGTGTCTGACGTTACATGGCACATAAGGTTTAGGTGAAAACGACTGGATGTAGTACCGTTCATGTTACAATTCAGGACCTTTAAATGGAGCTTTGTGTTACACGGGGCATTGTTAAGTCACGCTGGCGAGCCTATTGTGTACGTAATTGTGCAGTTATTGTATTCACGTTACAAAACCTATGTGGCATTCAACAAAGTCTGTATAAAAGGGAAGGTTTGCAGATTCTAGTAGACGAGTTTTCTATAGCTTTGTTGTCCAAATATTTGTACTAGTGTACACGTTTCTTCCGGACACGAGCTGCTCTCGGCTTACAGGCCTTGGTTTGTAATGGTGTATGCCACTGCAATGACTAAATGTAAATATTATATAACCCATTTTATGTAGGTATTGCTATTTGAACCAAAAGGATTTTGTTTTGTTAGCTTCCAATCGATCTTCAAAAAACAATAGACATGAACATTAATATTTAATTGTGTACTATGTTATAGAAACAGAAACTCTCTGTATTTGTTGTGCGGTTATGGTTGAACTATCGCACGGTTTTGCTCTTTTGCCACTTGAATAAACTAAACCCTATCGCACACAGCGTATTTCTGAACTAGTGAGATATACTGTAACACCAGATGACTTCGTGAATATAAAAAACGTGATATTGAAAATTTACTATCAGGCACAATAAATACAAATACGGGTGTTGATTTCAGAGGATAGTCCACGTGTTAGTCTGGCGGCTCGACCTGGACCTGATTCGTTCTATATTCCCTGTTGACTTTAGTTCTCTAACTTGAATTATTGATAGGATTTCTCGGTAATTGATGTCTCCGGGAGGCAGACTGACTCGGTTAGCGAGACTGATGCCCTTCGCCGCCAATCTCCATTCTAACTGTGTGTCATCGGGTTATACGTTCGAGGCTTGGGTCGATAGGATTGTTTATCCTGTAGATAATTTAATTGAGTGCATCATACTCTGAGATTTAATAAAGACAGATGTTCCACCTGGGTGACGTATTGAGGTAACATATGCCGAGTCCGCACGTGTGATACCCATATTCAACATCAGTAACATAACTATTAGTTTTGATACATGAACGGTGTTTGAGGGTTCTGCAGTGTACAGTAGTTATATAACTTTCCTCCTACATATTTTATATGATACCTATATATTCTGATACCGTTGTTAAATTTTTATTTAAAATGATAAAGTAGCAATAGTATTGTCCTTTCCTGCTAAATAATTTATAATGATAATAATCATTACGATTTAATGTATTTTTAAGGCAATCCACGTGTTTCTCAGTGCAACACTTGGCCAATATTCTGTTACCTATGTTAACTATTTACGCGCTTTAAATTCAAATATATAAGGTTTTAAAAGTATATCTAAGAACTGGAATAAATGTTATTCTGGTATCGTTAGCTTCAGTCGGACAGATATATAAGGTATCATGGTTTTGTCATTCGATATAGGCTAGAGGCACGCATGCAAAGGTTAATATATACTCACCATTAAACGTGAGCACCAACAACAGGAGGATTCCAAGCATACCGGCATACATGTTGATGTCCGATGTGTAAAGGGAGAGTGTTGAGTTTAAATGAAAATGAATGTGTCACTGGAAGTTTTGCCCTGCCGCAAGTACCTTGGAATGTGGATCCGTGCCGTCCTGTCTGCATGTGACAGACCTCGAAATCGGTAAATCACCACCTATAGTTTTACCGTTTCACGGTTCCGACAAACAAAGAATGGCGAGCTCCTGTATAGTGGCCCATTGTTACACAGATATATACACACATACACACTTTAACGGGTACACACCATCCAGTACACGTCTCACTCCATTGGCTGCGTGTCATAGACGGGCTTCGTTGACGGCTGGCGCTATCGAATAAAGTCACTTTTTTAATCAATGAAAAGGTATATAAGGCTGTTCAATACAGCTGAGTTGTTTAAGACGTTCAGACTATTGGTCCGTTATTGGTGGAATAATGCCATACGTTTATCCCTGTATACAATACAATAATCTGATCGTGTTAATAATTTACTGGTAATTATTCGTTACAATAATACGATTTAGATCGTATATATACCTAGTCATTTAGACAGTTATCAACACTACAGTGACACCTACCCGCGCCTGGTACCCCGTACAATACGGCTGTAGATCGCATGGCCACGTCGCTGTACTTCTCACTCAACCGGCGGACTCCACATTAAACAGGCGTTAAAAGGACTATTATATATATATACGGCTGTGAAATAATTACACCAACTCTAATGTGTTCCGTCTTCATTATGTTAAGGCGTCTCTGGCTGGGATGACAGGCAGGTAAAATGATGACCACGTAATATATATATATATATGGTGTACACAGTACACATAGGGGACTAAGTCTTTAAAGCCACAATACTATCAACTGAATCTCACAGGGATAACAAAAAAATGTCACGTCTTCGTGTGTAACCCTGACTCATACCTTACAGATTAAGGGAATGACAAAAGATACGTTCAAATTTGGAGACAGATATTTACTGTGTTAATTTTAATGAGGGTGTTAGATATTTACTGTTTTAATTTTAATGAGGGTGTTAGATATTTACTGTGTTAATTTTAATGAGGGTGTTAGATATTTACTGTGTTAATTTTAATGAGGGTGTTAGATATTTACTGTGTTAATTTAAATGAGGGTGTTAGATATGTATTGTGTGATTTTAATGAGGGTGATAGATGTTGACTGTTAATCTAAATGAGGGTGACAGATATTTATTGTGTTAATGTCAATGAGGGTGATAGATGTTGACTGTGATAGATTGAACGAGAATGATGTCCATGTATTTATACACTATCCACCTGCTATAAACACTCTCCAATATTTGCATATTCCTCTACATGTTACGGTGAATTACGGTGTGATGTTTACCACGGATTTTAATGACATTCCTTACATAATGGTGATAATGATAGTAGTGTCCCACACAGATAAACTCACCTGTTTTCATGACAATAACGCTATAATGAGCACCACTGTTTCGCGTCTTCAACCTCTGTGACGTAGATGTACTGTGACCTCTGTAACGTAGATGTACTGTGACCTCTGTGACGTAGATGTACTGTGACCTCTGTAACGTAGATGTACTGTGACCTCTGTGACGTAGATGTACTGTGACCTCTGTAACGTAGATGTACTGTGACCTCTGTGACGTAGATGTACTGTGACCTCTGTAACGTAGATGTACTGTGACCTCTGTGACGTAGATGTACTGTGACCTCTGTAACGTAGATGTACTGTGACCTCTGTGACGTAGATGTACTGTGACCTCTGTAACGTAGATGTACTGTGACCTCTGTGACGTAGATGTATTGTGACCTCTCTGACAGGAAGGCATTGGTGTTTGCATTAAGATGCAGATTTCTGATTTTATTAAAAGTTATCATTTGTTGTTAAGATTAGAAATGTTGAAACAATCTTATAACTATGAAAAACACATGCGTAGTTTATCTTACTGCATATCTCTGAATGAGTAATTATAAATGTACAAAATGCTATATATCTACAGAACACAGTATATCTACAGAACACAGTATATCTCAAAAACCCATAAAACTACAAAATCACTGTATATCTACAAAATACTAAATGGGGCAAGGAAGTCATTCTTACAGTGTATACAATATGATGTCAATCCGCTCCTTTATCGGGACAAATAAAAAACACACAATTACAGTAAATATATATATAATGTAATTGTTTTGTGGTTTTGATTTGTCTCGAACAATTCTAAGTAATTCGTATACTACAAACATTCGTTTGCAAGGACCCAATGTTATAATGTTATTCGGGAAGTTACTGTTAATATTACTTCTTTGACCCATACAAAATACTGTATATATACAAAATAATGTATATATACAAAATACTGTATATATACAAAATACTGTAAATATACAAATCCCTGTATATATACAAAATACTGTATATATACAAAATACTGTACATATACAAAACCCTGTATATATACAAAATACTGTATATATACAAAATACTGTATATATACAAAATACTGTATATATACAAAATACTGTATATATACAAAATACTATATATATACAAAATACTGTATATATACAAAACCCTGTATATATACAAAATACTGTATATATACAAAATACTATATATATACAAAATACTGTATATATACAAAACCCTGTATATATACAAAATACTGTACAAAACCCTGTATATATACAAAATACTGTATATATACAAAACCCTGTATATATACAAAATACTGTATATATACAAAATACTATATATATACAAAATACTGTATATATACAAAACATCTTTTCTATAAGCAAAGGTTAAATGAATCTCATATCTACAAAACACTATTTATTATTATTATTATTATGAAGACGTACTCTATCATATATATTTTAACTTCTGCTTCTTTTCGTGGGTATGAAACATGGGATCTGTGATAGCCCTTCACAGAGCCGATATATCATCTATTTAAAATTTGATGATGATGAAGAAGTGTAATGATGATGATGATAATTATGAAACGATGATGATGATGATGATGATGATGATGATGATGATGATGATGATGAGGATGATGATGATGATGATGATGATGGAATAGTGTAATGATCATGATGACGATGATGATGATACTTATGGAAAGATGATAATGATGATTATGAAACAGTGTAATAATGATCATGATATTTAAGAAATGATGATAATGATGGTGATGAAATAGCGCAATAATGATTATGATATTTATGAAATGATGATGATGATGATGATGATGTTAAAAGATAATGAGGACGATAATGATCATGAAATGATGATGATGATAAATGGTGTGTATGAGTGCGAGTGGTGCGTGTGTGTTCATTTATATGCTATGTAACATATATTTGAAAAATGTTTGAAAAATAAAAATAAAAGATACAAAAAAAAACTATGTAGTAAAAAAAAGGCGATATAGATTTATAAAGTTTGTGCTCCATTTTGTTGTTGTTTGTTATGTAAATAATACACACAAGAAAATAAAGCAGTAGCTAGGATAGGTGACATGGAATAACGCCGACAAAGAGGCAACGGTTGATAGAATATCGACCGACCTTGATTCAGACTACTGTATAGTATTACCTAGTAGGGGTAGGTAAACTGGGAACCCAGTCACGGAATCTCATCAATAACTTATGTCTTACAGCGCAAGCAAAATTACGGTTTTCGTGAAAGTACATATCATCGTTCTTTATTTGAACCTGTGGTGTGAAGTATCTGTCATAAGTTCTATATTATTTATTATATCTGGCAGAATATTGATACTCACACGAGATCTATACTAGTATATATCTAGTAATCTGTGGATACTGACAGTGTATTTAATACATGATACCTGTAATATCTGTCGGGTAGTATAAGAATACTGACATTGAATTTGATACATGATATGTGTAATATCTGTCGGGTAGTATAAGGATACTGACACTGAATTTGATACATGGTATCTGTGATATCTGTCGGGTAGTATAAGGATCCTGACATTGAATTTGATACATGATACATGTAATATCTGTCGGGTAGTATAAGGATATTGACATTGAATTTGATACATGATATGTGTAATATCTGTCGGGTAGTATAAGGATACTTACATTGAATTTGATACATGATATCTATAATATAGTCGTGTAGTATAAGAATACTGACATTGAATTTGATACATGGTATCTGTGATATCTGTCGGGTAGTATAAGGATACTGACATTGAATTTGATACATGAGATCTATAATATATGTCGGGTAGTATAAGGATACTGACATTGAATTTGATACATGATATCTGTAATATAGTCGGGTTGTATACGGATACTGACATTGAATTTGATACATGATATCTGTAATATCTGTCGGGTAGTATAAGGATACTGACAGTGTATTTGATACATGGTATCTGTAATATATGTCGTGTAGTATAAGGATACTGACAGTGTATTTGATACATGGTATCTGTAATATAGTCGGGTTGTATACGGATACTGGCATTGAATTTGATACAAGATATCTGTAATATCTGTCGGGTAGTATAAGGATACTTACATGGAATTTGATACATGATACATGTATTATCTGTCGAGTAGTATAAGGATACTGACATTGAATTTGATACATGATACATGTAATATCTGTCGGGTAGTATAAGGATACTGACATTGAATTTGATACATGATATCTGTAATATATGTCGGGTAGTATAAGGATACTGACATTGAATTTGATACATGATATCTGTAATATATGTCGGGTAGTATAAGGATACTGACATTGAATTTGATACATGATATCTGTAATATATGTCGGGTAGTATAAGGATACTGACATTGAATTTGATACATGATATCTGTAATATATGTCGGGTAGTATAAGGATACTGACATTGAATTTGATACATGATATCTGTAATATATGTCGGGTAGTATAAGGATACTGACATTGAATTTGATACATGATATCTGTAATATATGTCGGGTAGTATAAGGATACTGACATTGAATTTGATACATGATATCTGTAATATATGTCGGGTAGTATAAGGATACTGACATTGAATTTGATACATGATATCTGTAATATATGTCGGGTAGTATAAGGATACTGACATTGAATTTGATACATGATATCTGTAATATAGGTCGGGTAGTATAAGGATACTGACATTGAATTTGATACATGATATCTGTAATATATGTCGGGTAGTATAAGGATACTGACATTGAATTTGATACATGATATCTGTAATATATGTCGGGTAGTATAAGGATACTGACATTGAATTTGATACATGATATCTGTAATATATGTCGGGTAGTATAAGGATACTGACATTGAATTTGATACATGATATCTGTAATATATGTCGGGTAGTATAAGGATACTGACATTGTATTTGATACATGGTATCTATAATATATGTCGGGTAGTATAAGGATACTGATATTGAATTTGATACATGATATCTGTAATATCTGTCGGGTAGTATAAGGATACTGACATTGAATTTGATACATGATATCTGTAATATATGTCGGGTAGTATAAGGATACTGACATTGAATTTGATACATGATATCTGTAATATATGTCGGGTAGTATAAGGATACTGACATTGAATTTGATACATGATATCTGTAATATATGTCGGGT